AGCAATAGAACCAGGCATCAAAAAACAATAAAAAAGTACAATACACACATAGTGCACTCATTACTTACCTTAAAATATTTATAGTCTTAATCTAGGGTGAGACAAGTAGTATTTATTGTAAGAAATCAAGTGTGGTATGTATGGTAGTCAGCCAGGCTACCATACCAGGCCACCCCACCCACACATACAATTCTATGATATTTAAGCATCCCAGAGCGATAAAATGTATATAAAGTTCACTCATTACTTACCTTAAAATATAGGGTGAGATGAGTAGTATTTATTGTAAAAAATCAAGTGTGGTATGTATGGTAGTCAGCCGGGCTACCATACCAGGCCAACCCACCTACACATAATATTCTATTACATTTAAGCATCCTAGAGCGATAAAATGTATATACAGTTCACTCATTACTTACCTTAAAATATTTGTAGTCTTAATGTAGGGTCAGGAGTAAGTAAATGAGATAAAACGAATAAATGAGAGAGAGAAAGAATGAGTGCATGAGAGAGAACAGGCGCAGAGTTATGTAAACAAACCAGGCGAAGGTAAGTTTTGTAAACAAAGTGTACACGTCTGGTTTGTGTACAAGTTACATTGTGTACAGGTTGTCTCTACATTGATACGGTAGAATAAATAAAGAAGAACACTCCCATTCTCATGTAACATCATTTTGAGAAGAAATGATGCTCTGAGTGAAGGCAATGGAAATAAGTCACTCTGACTTTTTTGGGTTATCCTAGGTTCTCTACACATATGTTGTTATGTATGATAATCTATGTAACTGTATTTGTGTATACCTGAATAAACTTACTTACATACATACGAAAGGAATAATTTTCTACAATTACCCCCAGTAACACATTTTCTCTTATGTTAGATTAGAGAAAATGTTATTCTTGGCATCACTTGTACAAGTTATCTGGCTACCACATCTCATATTTATGTTTATTTATTCTATTGTAGGGTGTATTTATCATCTTTTTATGTTATGTATTGTGTTTATTATATAATTTTGAAAAAAATATCATAGATGGATTAATGAAAATGTGTATATTAACGTAATATACAACATTTAATGAGACTCGGTGATTATTATTATTATTATTAGCATTTCTAATATGGCGTCACTTGTGCAAGTCGTCTGCTACCACATCTCATATTTATGTTTATTTATTCTATTGTGGGGTGTATTTATCATCTTTTTATGTTATGTATCGTGTTTATTATATAATTTTGAAAAAATATCATAGATGGATTAATGAAAATGTGTATTTAACGTAATATACGACATTTAAATGAGACTCGATGATTATTATTATCATTACTAATATGACGTCTGGAGACATAAGACACTCTTACTGATTTTAATGTGTACCTGCATGCCAGCACAGTATGTAAGTTTATTTAAGTACAGGTATACATAAGTATAATTATCAGAGTATATATAAAATATGAAATAACTTTTAAAAACATTTGAAATTTTGGAGTTTCCAGACAAAATGGAGAGACTTAGTGCTTACTGAGCTCACGAAGAATGTAAACAAACAAGGTGGGGCGCAGTGACCGTATTAGAAAGTCAGGTGGGGGGAGCCGTACAGCGAGTTTTGGTCATAATTTGAAATGACTGTATTAGCAGAACGCCGTAAAGTGAAACGCCGTAAAGCAGGGCCCTGCTGTACAGTACATTACTGTATGAATATTTAAAAATAAACCAGAAATGTTATAAAAGGTGCAAAGGTGACACTGAAACAATATCAGAGTTGGCTGACACAAACCAACTATCATTATAGTATGCTCCTCACTTAGCGACGAATTCGTTTACTGAGGTGGTCTTAAGAACGGAACTCCGTTGTTAAGTGAGGAGAGAGACTGTAACTGATTCTTATACATACAGTCTCAAGTGATTTTAACAATAAACACTTTTACTGAGTTTAATTGATTCAAAGATTACAGTTTGGCTTATGATTACCTGTAATGAGGTTTCTAGAATAACAGTTCGAAGACATTCAATATATTATAGATTATGAGAATAAGAATATATTTTCCATATGTTTGTGGCAGTGAGACTATGAAAACATACGTTTATCTGTTGTTGGGCTATGTTAGTGAAAGTTTTTTTCTTTTTTTTTTTACAGTAGTTTTGAAGATGCTGGTAGAGAGGGTGGCTCTGGAGATTTCTGGCAGGGAGCTCCAGATTTTGGGTCCTTTTATGAAGTATTGAACTATTTTTTTTAAATTGCAGCACGTAATGGACATTTAATTTGGGGAGCTTTGACGGTTTAAGGCTAACAGGAAAATACAGTGAATAATTTGCCAAAAGTAAAGGGAATAATAGAGTAAATATATTAGAGTTGCCAAATATCTTCCAATGACCATACAGTCTGTTTTGATTCAGTGACCTTTTCTAAGTTAGTATCTTTTGTATGTTGTAATGTGACTTCTGTTTGTATTAACTCTTTCAGGGTCTAGATCCTTGATCTGAAATTTGTCCACAGGGTCCAAGAATTTTCAATTTTTTTTTTTTTGTCTTATGAAATGGTAGAGAATCTTTTTCTGAAAGAAATAAAACAAAAAATATGAAATCTGATGGAAAACTGACGAAATTACGCTCTCATGAATTTTGATACATCAGTGATATTTACACACTGGCGATTTTGCCCACTTTGACTCCCATTTAAGGCCAATTACATACACAAATAACCCACACATAGAAGAGAGGAGCTTACGACGATGTTTCGGTCCGACTTGGACCACTTACAAAGTCACACTAATGAGAAGGAGAGCAGGGTGGGTATATATGGGCAGGTGGTGGTAGTAGTAGTAGTGGTTGTAGAGGAGGTGGAAGGAAGTAATAGTGGGGAGGTAGTAAGAGTAGGAGGGGCCAGTCAAATACTAAGAAAGAGAAGCCAGACTAACACTCTTTGCACTAATCTCGTTCATACCTCTCCTCCCTCTACAGATGCTCCTGGTGTCTACTCTATTTCTTGCTCCTCCAGTCCTCTTCAATACTTTGGAGAAACTGGCCGATCTCTTTCTGACAGACTTAGGGAGCACAAAAATAGTGTTAGGCTTGCCGACGTTAGCAATGCTCCTTTCTGTCACGTCAGAGATCACAGCCATCCTATTGACTGGTCTTCTGCTAAAACTGTCTTCCCTACTTCCAACTTTAACAGTTGCCGTCTGGTTGAATCCTCCTCTACTACCACTACTACTACTACTACTACCACCTCCTGCCTATATATACCCATCCTGCTCTCCTTATCGTCAGTGTGACTTTGTAAATGGTCCAAGTCGGACCGAAACATCGTCGTAAGCTCCTCTCTTCTATGTGCGGGTTATTTGTGTATCGTGCCAGTCACGGCATTGTGCCTTTTTTTGTTATTTACCTACAGCATGGACCCTGGCTTCAAAACTGTAGAACTATGGGAAAGACTCTCAAAGAGTTAAGCTTTGTGTGTTTAATAACAGTAACAAATATAAGGTGGAAATAGCAAACAATTACCTATAAATAGATAGATTAGCTCTTCTACTATATTTTAATTTCACTATCATGAATCAGGAATTATATTCACTGTAGAATTTTTTTTTCATTTAATAAAGTAATATATATCTAAAAGCTTCTCATATCTGAGGGTTAATGTGATATGTTTTCAATTATCTTCAATGTTTTTCTTCAAGGTTTAACCCTTTGACTGTTTACGTCATGTATAAACGTCTAATGCGCCACTGTTTCTGATGTATTTATACACGTAAATTCTAGCACCTCCAACTCAAGCAGGAGAAAGCTGGTAGGCCCACATGAGAGAGAATGGGTCCGTGTGGTCAGTGTGCACCACATAAAAAAATCCTGCAGCACACAGTGCGTAATGAGAAAAAAAAACTCTGATCATTTTTCTGGATTAAAACGCCGACTTTGAAGTGTATTTTCATATAGTATTTATATTTGTATTCTCGTTTTCATGGTCTCAGGTGATAAAATGGAAAACACATTACAGAAATAGAGATGATTTTCATTACTTTCACAATGAGAATGACCTTGAAATTGAGCTCAAAGTAGCAGAAATGCTCGATTTTTACCAATGTTCAGGAGTAAGAAAATTACACCACACGTCCAATACACGTCAACTGGGGAGTCTAATATTCTTTCACTAGTGCCCTGATATTATTTATATCATTTTTACAATAATGCATTAGTCTGCATAACAGTAAATTTTATATTTTTTTGTATGAATAAAAAATCAAAATAGAAAGTAATAGTAATATAAGAGGGGCCTAGAGACGTGACTAATGAACAGAGGATATGTTATTTTAATGCCAAGAATGTCTACATTGTTTATTCTGGACCCTATTTTGAAATTGGCATCTTTTTTAACTTGCATGAAATTGGCCAAATTGCCAATTTCTGACCACTTTACTGGGTAGTTCAGATAGGTAAATAGGTGGTTTCTTGTACTAAACTGATAGAAAAAAATGGAGTTCTAAAGAAATAGCTATGAGTTTGGTCAACTGGAACAACAGAACTGGCCAAAAACAGGGCTCAAAGTCGGCGAAATTGCCGATGCGTATATGTCGCCAAGACCGCTATCTTCACGGGAGCGTAATTCCGTGAGTTTTCGACCAAATTTCATACTTTTGGTGCCATTACCATCGGGAAAAGATTCTCTATCATTTCATAAGAAAAAATAATTTTTTTTCCCAAAACTTTTGCGACATGGAATGACAGTTTCAGAAAGGGGCCTGTGACAGTCAAAGGGTTAACAAAGGTGAGCAGTGTCTTTTTTTAATTTTATGATGTAAATATTACAACAATGAGAGCAGTGGTATGCCAGACAGAGATAGATAGACAGACAGACAGACAACAGATAGACAGACAGGCAGGCAGGCAATGCATGTACATACACACACACACACAAACTAGGAATGGCTGCTTGTGTGAATTCTTACGATCAAATAATAGTGGGCCTGCAACCATATAGCGGCTTGCGATGGCTCTTACAGTGATGATGATCTTGGCCTCAGTTCTGGAGATGCCTCTAGCGGTAGTGTGTTGGAGTTCCATGTCAAGTAATTCATCCCCAGCCTGCTCTGCTGTCACCACTATGGAGCACTGACCCTTCCCAAAGCAGTTGAAAGTTCCCACCAAGCTACAAAAATGAAAAGAAGAAAATTTCATAATTGATATTGAATGCAGTTCAAAAAATTTACTGCTAGAGAATGCTATCAAGTATAAAAACATAAGAATAGAGGAGAATTGCAGTATGCTTATTGCCCAGGCTAGGCAGGACTAACTTACATCTAACCACATCCACTTGCATAGGTGTCCAACCAATATTTAAATGTACCCAAAGTTCTTGCCTCAATGATGCTTCTTGGGAGTTTGCTTCCTCATCTGTGAGTCAATTGCCAAACCAGTACATTCCCATTTTTTTCTTTTCAACAAGTTGGCCGACTCCCACCAAGGCAGGGTGACCCAAAAAGAAAATCCCCAAAAAGAAAATACTTTCATCATCATTCAACACTTTCACCACACTCGCACATTATCACTGTTTTTGCAGAGGTGCTCAGAATACAACAGTTTAGAAGTATATACATGTAAAAATACACAACATATCCCTCCAAACTGCCAATATCCCAAACCCCTCCTTTAGAGTGCAGGCACTGTACTTCCCATTTCCAGGACTCAAGTCCGGTTATATAAAATAACCGGTTTCCCTGAATCCCTTCACTAAATATTACCCTGCTCACACTCCAACAGCTTGTCAGGTCCCAAATACCATTTGTCTCCATTCACTCCTATCTAACACGCTCACGCACGCTTGCTGGAAGTCCAAACCCCTCGCCCACAACACCTCCTTTACCCCCTCCCTCCAACTTTTTCGAGGACAATCCCTACCCCACCTTCCTTCCCCTACAGATTTATATGCTCTCCATGTCATTCTACTTTGATCCATTCTCTCTAAATGACCAAACCACCTCAACAAACCCTCTTCAGCCCTCTGACTAATACTTTTATTAACTTCACACCTTTTCTGCATAATATTTACACCACACATTGCCCTTAGACAGGACATCTCCACTGCCTCCAACCGCCTCCTCGCTGCATCATTTACAATGCAAGCTTCACACCCATATAAGAGTGTTAGTACACTACTGTACTTTCATACATTCCCTTCTTTGCCTCCATAAATAACATTTTTTGCCTCCACATATACCTCAATGCACCACTCACCTTTTTTCCTTCATCAATTCTATGATTAAGCCGCAGTAAGAATAATCACTAAATCCCATCCCTGGCAACCATCCCCCCCCCACTCTTCATAGATCTAAACTTACTCCCTGTTCAGAACATCCACACTTACTACTGTGCAATCTATATCTACAGGACCTTAAATTCCAATATTAACCTTGACCTAAAATGCTTTCTTGATAGTTGTGACAGGATCCACAGGCATAACACCAGACACAAACATCTCTATGACATTCCCCGTGTTCGACTAAACCTTTACAAAAATTCAATGTATTTCAAAGGACCTAAAATCTGGAACACCCTACCTGAAAACTCTAGAACTGCAGACACATTCATCACTTTCAAAACTAGAGTTAGAAAACATCTTATCTCCCTGATCCACCCCAACAACTAACTACATGATAACCACCTGGTGGTTCACAATTACACTCACTCACCCATTGACTATAAACCCAGAAATACTAATCTTAATCTTAAAATAATAAATCCTAACTAGTCATAAGTTTGCCTATGATACTCCAATATAGACACCTTGTATTGTGCCAAAACAAAAGCATTCACATTGCTAAACTCACAAATTATGATGTAGTCACTTAGCCTTAATACAATAATCCGTAAGGATTTAATGTTAAGAATTAATCTAAGTCTGCTCGAAATGCCTAGCCAGGCTAGGTGTCCTAGTGGCCCCCTCTGTAATTAGTATTTTATAACATGTAAACCACACATTGTAACCCTTATAGAGAATAAACTTGAATTGAATTGAATCCTTCATAAATCCATCCGCTGACACATCAACTCCCAAATATCTGAAAACATTCACTTCTTCCATACTTCTCCTCCCCAATTTGATATCCAATATTTCTTTATCTGAATCATTCTATACTCTCATCACCTTACTCTTTTCTATGTTCACTTTCAACTTTCTACCTTTACACACACTCCCATATCCTTTCCAAATCTAAAGCTGTCCAACTTGAATCTGTGGTAACAAGTGCTATCCAGCCTAGATATCTTCAACATGCTATTTATATCCCCATTATTTATTCTTGTTTTCCAAGTGTACACTTTAGTAATATACCCCCTAATTCTTTGCCTTTCTAAAGAGTGAAAATTCAGTACCTTAACATACTTTAGAAGAAAAAATTTTCAATACAGAAATCAACTTCATCCTTCTTTCTCTGAATATTTTCCAGGGCATTTATATCCTGTGTAATATGGAGACCAGAACTAATCAGCATAATCTAAATGAGGCCTTACTAAAAATATATACAGATGAAATATACCCTTAGGACTTTTAATATTTAAACTTCTTGATATACAGCCAAGAATTCTATTAGCCTTAATGCAAACACCCTCTATTCACTATTGTTTTGGTTGTTAGGTAAGACACATATGCAACAGTTAGGTATCTTTATTTTGAAACGTTTCGCCTACACAGTAGGCTTCTTCAGTTGAGTACAGAAAAGTTGATAGAAGCATAAGAGACTAGCAGACGATGTAATCAGTCCATCACCCTTGAAGTTTTGAGGTGGTCAGTCCCTCAGTCTGGAGAAAAGCATTGTTCCATAGTCTGAAACAATATAGAGTTGAAGTGATAGGATGGAGCCTTATATAGCGCCAGGAGGTGAGACGTAGGTCACTAGTAGAGGTAAGAACCTAGACGTTGAGAGGACAGGTCCCTCTCAAATCCAGCCATTCTCACTAGTAGAGGTTGTCGAAGTTGATTTCAGCCAAAACAATAGCGAATAGAGGGTGTTTGCAATAAGGCTAATAGAATTCTTGGCTGGATATCAAGAAGTTTAAATATTAAAAGTCCTAAGGGTATACTTCATCTGTATATATTTTTAGTAAGGCCTCATTTAGATTATGCTGATTAGTTCTGGTCTTCATATTACACAGGATATAAATGCACTGGAAAATATTCAGAGAAAGAAGAATGAAGTTGATTTCAACTTCGACAACCTCTACTAGTGAGAATGGCTGGATTTGAGAGGGACCTGTCCTCTCAACGCCTACGTTCTTACCTCTACTAGTGACCTACATCTCACCTCCTGGCGCTATATAAGGCTCCATCCTATCACTTCAACTCTATATTGTTTCAAACTATGGAACAATGCTCTTCTCCAGACTGAGGGACTGACCACCACAAAACTTCAAGGGTGATGGACTGATTATATTGTCTGCTAGTCTCTTCTGCTTCTATCAACTTTTCTGTACTCGACTGAAGAAGCCTACTGTGTAGGCGAAACGTTTCGAAATAAAGATACCTAACTGTTGCACATGTGTCTTACCTAACAACCTGTCAGTATTTTATACCATTTTGTTGTTCACATTGTTTTGGTTGTAGATTTCTGCTAACCAGAACTCCTAAGTCTCTTTCACATTCAATTTGATTACGATTCACATTATTTAGTTTGTCTCATTATCCCTGTAACAGAGAATTATGTCTACAAAATCTGGGGCTCTAATTTAAACTCTGGATTATTATTGTTATTTTTTTGAAAACACCAGCCATCCCCAACTGAGGCAGGGTGACCCAAAAAAGAAGGAACACTTTCAGTATCATTTCCCCTATCACCGTCTTGCCTGAGGCACACTGATACTACAGTTCAGAAACCCCTCCAAACTGCAAATATCCCCAACCCTCCTTCAGAGTGCAGGCACTGTACTTCGCACTTAAAGAACTGAAGTTGGCTAACCAGTTTCCTTAAATCCCTTCACAAAATGTTATGTTGATCATATTCCAAGAGCTCATCAAGTCCCAAAAACCATTTGCCTCCACTATCTAACATACTCACACATGCCTGATGAATGTCCAAGCTCCTCACACAAAACCTCCTTTACTCCCCCCTCCTTCCAACCTTCCCTACTGTGACCTCTACCAGCCTTCCATCCACTACAGATTTATACACCCTCCAAATCATCCTATTTTGCTCCATCCTTTCTAAATGTTCAAACCACCTTAACAACCCTTCCTCAGGTCTCTGGATAATACTTTTAGTAACACTGCACCTCCTCCTAATCTCAAAGCTATGAATTCTCTGCATAATCTTTATACCACACATTGCCCTCAGACATGACACCTCCACTGCCATCAGTCTCCTCCTTGCAGGAACATTCACCACCCATGCTTCACACCCTTATAAGTGTGTTGGTATCAAAATACTCTCATACATTCCCCTCTTTGCTTCCATGGAAAACATACTTTGTCCCCACAGATTCCTCAATGCACCACCAACTTTTTTTATCCTCATCAATTCTATGGTTTACCTTGTCTTTCATATACCCATCTGCTAACATGCCCATTCTCAAATATCTGATGATATTCACTTCCTCCATGTTCCCTCCTTTGGCTCACTGAAGAATGATCATGCTTTACCTTAATGGAGAATAATTTAGATTGCCTAATACTCAAATAACACCCTTCTAAATATCCACAACTACCTATATACCCTTTATTCAGCTTGCCTGAGGAGGATTTTTTAACAAAACTGAGCCTCCTTAAGTGAAGACTGTCCCTGGCTCATTTCATATTGAGGATTCAACATGGCCAAGGATCCTTCAAGAGATGCCTGACCAGACCAATCCAACACGACTGAGGGCCCTTTGGGGGCCAGCCTGACTGAAGAGTCTTTGGCATAGAGCTGACTTGAAAATAACACAGACAGGATCTTTTATGACTCACCTGACAGGGCTGATCCAGGAATCGAGTTTAAGGGTATTGGAGAGACCATAAGAGAAGACCTCATTATTTGCTCGTGTGATTATAATGGTATCCATATTGAGGGCTCTGCCTGGGTGTAGCCGCAGTGTAAGTTTATTTTTGTAGCTACCACCGAGTGCCTCAGCCAGAGTCTCCTGCAGTTCAAACACCTGTCCTGGGTACATCAGCTGCACCATGACCACATGGTCAAAAATGTATTGAAAAAAGTTAGAAGTTAACAAAAAAAATGAAATCTAATACATCTTTCTAAGTGATTAACATACATTAGATTATTCCAGTCTTCCTTCAATATTGACATTACAACATCCATCTTCCCACACATACTATGTACACTTGTAATGGAGGTTAATTATAAAGGAAGAAACCTAAAAGTTCATAATACTGTGCTAAAAATTACAATCAGACTACCCTCCAACCGCAACATCCCCACCCCTCCTTCAGAATGCAGGCACTGCCCTTTTCATCTCCCAGATGTAAGTCCTGCTAACCAGTTTGCTCTGAATTCATCTCTCACTGCATTTTTGTCTAACACACTCACACAAAACTTACTATATGCTCAAGCCCTTAAAACTCAAAGCCTCTTGTGCCCCCTCCCTCCAACCATTCCTGGGACAACCCCTCTTCTTCCTACTTTCCACCCTAGATTTATGCACCCTCTTTGTCAACCTGCACCAATAAAGTCCCATGTGGATGAAAGGTCTTCTCAATGAATGCCTTTATCAACCTATTCCTCTCCACTCTCTGTACATGCCCAAGACACCTCAACAACCCCTCACTCTCGCCCTCTGATATATACCCTTGGTGATCAAACATTGCCATTTAATTTCTATTGGCTGAATTTATGAAAATAAGACAAAGTATACTCAGGAATACACAGAAATACCAACAGAACACAATGAGAAATGGTTAACACAAAGATGGAGGCTGCCACAGTGAAAAGCTCTGTTCATCATCCTCATATCAGATATAAACAGAAATGTAAACCATAGCATCATGTCTTCTTTTGCAGATATTAGAATCTGCACAAGTGTGTCATTTATTGAGGACATGGTAAGTCTCTAAGCAGATATAAACAAAGTTTTCCAATGGTGCATGGAAAACAATACAATATCCAATGAAGACAAATTTCATTTACTCCATTATGGAAAACCTGAAGAAATAACAGCTAGACTGGATTATATACAATAAATTCTAACCACACAATACTGTATAGTGAAAAACTAATACAAAGGAATTGAAGTAATAATGTCAGAGAATCTCACCTTCAAGGATCACAACAGTGTTACTATCACATCAATGAGGAAAGTGATTGGATGGATTGAGAACTTTCAAAACAAGGGATACCAAGCCAATAATGATCATTTTAAAGTCACTTGTTTTCTCTAGGCTGGAATACTGCTGTATAATAACTGTCCCAGTCCAAGCAGGTTAAAATACAGATCTAGAGAATGTATAGAGAACTTTCACTGCATGTATTAATTCAGTCAAGCACCTTAATCACTGGGAATATTTGATATCCCTTGACCTGTACTCCCTGGAATGCAGGCGAGAAAGATACATCATAATCTACACCTGGAAAATCCTGAGGGACTGTTCCCAAATATGAACACAGAAATTACTCCCTATGAAAGCAAAAGACTAGGCAGACATATTCCCAGTGAAAAGCAGGGTGCCAGGAGAACATTGAGAAAACAGAATAATTGTCAGGGACCCACAACTGCTCAACAGCTTCCCATCATACATAAGGGAGATTACCAATAGACCCTTGGTTGTCTTCAAGAGGGAACTGGACAGATACCTAAAGTCAGTGCCTGATTAGCTGGCTGTGGCTCGTATGATGAAATGTGTGGGGCCAGCAGTTACAACCTGGTTGCCCAGGCCCTGATCCACTGGGAGGCTTGGACGAAAACTGGGCCATGGGGGTGTTGACCCCCCAGATCAAGCTCCAGGTAGAAACACTCAGAGGATTTAATATTTTTTCTTGGTATAAAAGATATACAGTATGTGATCTAAGAAAACATATTACCGAAGTCATGACCACTCCAAGATTAACCTTTAAACTGTCCAAGCAGAACTACGTTCACATGCGTAGTGCTTCAAAAGTAGATCTACTTTTTTTACATATTTTCAAATATAACAAAAAAAAACAAAAAAAAAAAAACGTAGATCAAAGTTTTTTTACACTTTTTCAAATGTAAAAAAAAAAAGATCTACTTTTTTTACATACTTTCAAATGTTGAAAAAACGTTGACCTACGTTTGAACAGTTTAAGGGTTAAAAGAAGGTACCAGATTACAATATACATTTCAACTAGAACATACAGAATGTATTGGTAAAGTGATAATTTTGAACATCCAGACATTGTATTTTGTATTTAACCCTTTCACTATCGAAACCCCAAATCCTGAAGTGTCTCCTGGTGTTGAAAAATATTTGAAAAAAAAAAAAAAAGATTTTTTTCTTATGAAAATGTTAAGATTATTTTTCTGATTGTTTAACCCCTTCAGGGTCCAAGGCCCAAATCTGAAGTGGTGCCCCAGTGTCCAAGAATTTTAAAAAAAAAAATTTGTTATTTTTTCTTATGAAATGGTAGAGAATCTTTTTGTGAAGGTAATAAAACAAAAAGTACGAAATTTGATGGAAAATTGACGAAATTATGCTCTCGCGAATTTTGATGTGTCAGCGATATTTACGAATCGGCGATTTTTGCCGACTTTGACTCCCATTTTAGGCCAATTACATTATTCCAGTCAACCAAATTCTTAGCTATTTCACTAGTATTACTTCTATTCTATCAATTGAGCACAAGAAATCGCCAAGTCAACTGTTTCAACTACAAATTAAAGTGATCGGAAATTGTTAATTTGGCCAATTTAACACAAAGTTCAAAATATTCCAATTTCAAAATAGGGTCCAGAATAAACAATGTAGGTATTCTATTTTGTTCCATCCTTTCTATATGTCCAAACCACCTCAACAACCCTCCCCAGCCCTCTTGATAATAGTTTTGGTAATCCCACACCCCCTTCTTATTTCCAAACTATGAATTCTCTGCATTATATTCACACCACACATTGCCCTCAGACATGACATCTTCACTGCCTCTAGCCTTCTCCTTGATGCAACATTTACCACCCATGCTTCACACCCATACAAGAGCACTAGTATAACTATATTCTCATACATTTCCCTCTTTGCTTCCATGGACAAAGTTCTTTGTCTCCACAGACTCCTAAGTGCATCACTCTCCTTTTTCCCTTCATCAATTCTATGATTCACCTCATCTTTCATAGACCCATCTGTTGACACGTCCACTCCTAAATACCTGAATATATTCACTTCCTTCATATCCTCTCCTTCCAATCTGATATCCAGTCTTTCATCACCTAATTTTTGTTATCCTCATCACCTTACTCTTTCCTATATTCACTTTTAATTTTCTTTTTTCCATACCCTACCAAACCCATCCACCAACCTCTGCAACTTCTCTTCAGAATCTCCCAAAAATGCAGTGTCATGAGCAAAGAGCAACTGTGACACTGCTACAACTCCCACTTTGTGTTAGATTCTTTATCTTTTAACCCCACACCTCTTGCCAACACCCATGCATTCACTTCTCTTACAACCCCATCTATAAATATATTGAACAACCATGGTGACATGACACTTTTACTTGGAAATAATCTCCCTCTCTCCTACATACTCAAACCTGAGCTTCACTATCCTCGTAAAAACTCTTCACTGCTTTCAGTAACCTACCTCTTATTCCATGCATTTGCAACATCTGCCATATTACCCCTCTATCCACCCTGTCATACACCTTTTCCAAATTCATAAATGCCACAAAAACCTCTTTACCCTTATTCCCTTATAATATTTACACTCTCTTTTGTACCCTTTGCCTTCATACAAAGGAATTATCCATGCTCTCTGTCAATCCCTTGGTACCTTCCCCTCTTTCATACATTAAATAAAAGCACCAACCATTCCAAAACTATATCCCCACTTGCTTTTAACATTTCTGTCTTTATCCCAGCTGCTTTACCCCCTTTCATTGTACCCACTGCCTCACACACCTCCCCCACACTCTCAATTGGCTCTTCCTCACTCCTACAAGATGTTATACCTCCCTGCCCAATGCACAAAATCACACCTTCCCTATCTTCATCAACATTTAGCAGTTCCTGAAAATATTCCCTCCATCTTCCCAATACCTAAACTCTTAATGTAATATCTCTCCTCTCGTATTTTTAACCCTTTGACTGTTTCGGTCGTATATATACATCTTACGAGCCATTGTTTTTGACGTATATATACTCATAAATTCTAGAGGCTTCAAATCAAGGAGGAGAAAGCTGGTAGGCCCACATGTGAGAGAATGGGTCTATGTGCACCATATAAAAAAATCCTGCAGCACGCAGTGCATGAGAAAAAAAACTCTGACCATTTTTTTAATTAAAAATGCCGAATTTGTGGTGTATTTTTGTATAGTATTTATGGTTGTATTCTTGTTTTCTTTGTCTCATTTGATAGAATAGAAAACATATTATAGAAATAGAGGTGATTTAGACTGGTTTTACTATGAAAAGAACCTTGAAATGGAGCTCAAAGTAGGGGAAATGTTTGATTTTTGCCGATGTTCAAAAGTAAACAAATGTCATTTTACAAAAAATGTCCAAGTAGCCATTCTAATATGCAGTCATGAATGGGTTGACATTATTTATACAATTATTACAATATTGCAGTAGTCTGCATAACAGCAAATCTTCTATTTTTTGTTTAATAAAAATTCAAAATAGAAAGCAAGAGTAATATCAGAAGGGCCTGGAGACATGACTGATGAACAAAGAAAATGTTATTTTAGAGTCAGGAATGTCTTCATTGTTCATTCTGGATCCTATTTTGAAATTGTCATATTTTTTCATTTTCGTGAAATTGGCTGAGTTTGGTTGACTGGAACAATGGAATTAGCCGAAAATAGAGCTTAAAGTGAGCGAAATCGCCGATTTATAAATATCGCAAAGGTCGCTAACTTCGAGAGAGCATAATTCCATCAGTTTTCCATCAAATTTTGTTCTTTTGGTGTCATTACAATCGGGAAAAGATTCTCTATCATTTCATAAGAAAAAATAATTTTTTTTTCCGGAAATTTTGCGACATCAGGAGA